CTGAAGCCTCTTATCCTGGTCCTCCATCATCTGCAGCTTAGTCAACACCTTCAATAACTTGTGATTATTCCCTGTTCACAGGGCTAAGAGATCCAACGTATTCTGAAAGTTTCCACCACTCATGGAAACATGCCAACAGGCTTTCAGAAACCTCTTCTAACCATCTCCAGGCCAACCCAGCAGAATTGCAGAAGTGGCATTCCTTGTGCCCCTTTACAACTGGACTATGTTGTTGCGTGCCATGAAGTTGATTCTAATTCATAACGGCCTTATGACTCACAGGGCTTCCTAGGCTGTAATCTTTATAGGAACAGATCACCAGGTTTGAACTGCTGACCTTTCGGTTGGCAGCCAAGTGCTTAACCATTGAACCACCAGTGCTGTTCCTTATGTTACCTACCAATTTACATGACTGTTGCCCCCACTGGGCAGTAGGCCCTTTGAGGACAAAGATCCTGTTGTATGCATTTCTGGATTCTCTGGTTCTTTGCAAAATGACTGCTTTGGGCTCAATAAATGTTTGTTGAACAAATCAATGAGCAGACACATGAACAAGTAAGATTGAAATGTGTGGTTATCATTTGGAATAAGACCTACCTCTAGCTGCCATCCTGAGAGATATGTGAATTCATAATATATTCCTTTTATTTTCACTTGAATTTATACTTGACATTTACAAATGTTTTCTGCTATGTTGTATGAGAATCTATTAAACCACTCCATACTCCAGGGTATCAGTTGTGGTCAAGTCAATTCCAGCTCACGGCAACTCCATGTGTATCAGGGTAGGTCTGTGCTCCACAGGGTTTGCAAAGGTTGATTGATTATTGTGGAAGGAGACTGCCAGGCCTTTCTTCTGAGGCACCTTTGAGTGAACTGAAAGCTCCAACCGTTCAGTTAGCAGCCAAGCACGTTAACCATCTGCCCCACCCAGGGACTCAGAAGGAAGGTGGGCAATCTACTTCCAAAAAGATACTGCCTCAGAAACCCAGGAGGGTCGCTATGAGTCGGAATCAACTCAACAGTAGCGAGTTTGGTTTTTTTTTGGAGGGACTCCGAGTCCAAGACGAGAAACTGCAGATGGCAGGAGGAAGAACAAGAATATGCCCAATGCAACCAATTAAACTGAGCAGAAACCAGAATTTTTCTCCATGCACAGGTCACGCTGCTCAGCACCCTCCCAAGAAGAATGCAGTTAGTTATTAAAGCACACATATCAAGTCTTGGACCTTAAAGAGGATTTCTAACACCTATAACGGGCCTGTTCTGCTTACCTAGTGCTGCTCTGACAAGACTATACCACAACTGGGATGGCCTTAACAAACAAGAGTGTATTCTCTTCCAGTCTGGAGGCTTTAAGTCCAAGTTCAAAGTGTCAGGCTCTAGGTGCTGGGTGAAAGCCCCTGAACCTTGGGGTCCAACTCTGCCTCCTGTTCCCAGCCCACTGGAGCTAGAGGCATTTCTTCACTCAGACAGCTGCTGGCTGCTAAGGCTGACAAACCCAAGGTTGACACGTAAAAATGCACAGTCCCGATGTTACCAAACCATATGGCAGGCCATTAATTCAAGTTCATTGTAAGTCCCAAGGTCGGCAGAGCATGGCAGGCTGCTGAACAATGACACAGCTACATGCAGCATCCAAGTGTGCCATATGCTAGAGACCATTCCCAAGGTTTCTCCTTATATACAGGAAGCAGACCACATCCCAAGGGCAGCTACTCAGCTGCTTGTGGTAGATCCCACCCTGGAGGTGATTACCAGTCTCATCATGTGGAATAACTACCACCAGCTGCCCAGCCACTCAACCAGGCCCAGCCAAGTTGACACAAAAACATAACCACCACAGGTCCCATCCCAATTTGCAAACTACTTTGGGAGGAAACATCAAGCTTTTAATTGTGACACCTTGGAGAAGCTGCCTCAAGGACCCAGAATGACTAACAGGAAAGCTCAGAGATGAGTGAAGCCAGAGGACTGAGTGTGAAGCCAGATGCCAGGTGCTGGCCCTCCTCAACTCACTGGTGGGACAGTAAGGAGGTCCAAGGCCCCTGCAGCCTCAGGCTCTGAAACGGTGCCAGCAGGGGTAGTAGATGGTCACAAGTCAACTTGAACCTGCACTGGTACTGAAGGAATAGATGCAGGGTAGTCATCGTTAAGACCAGGGGCTGGGTTCAAATCTCAGCCCTGCTTCTTCCGAGTTGATGACCTTGCATGATACTGGCTGCTTCTCTGCCTGCCGCCCCCTCTGTAAAACGTGGACTGATGCCACCTCCCTCAGAGTTGTATTAGAAGGAATAAAAGTGATGCCCATAAAGTTGCTGCCTAAGGCACTTGACTGCTAACCAGAAGGCTGGCAGTTCAAACCCACCAGCCACTCCTCGGAAGGAAGACTGGGCAATCAACTTCCATAGAGATACTGCCTCGGAAACCCAAGGAGGGGTCACTATGAGTCGGGACCGACTGGGGGCAGTGAGTTTTGAGTTTATAAAGTGCTTAGCACAACGCTCAGCACACAAATGCCCAACAAACAGCATCTGTTATAACTGAGTGGCAGGTGGCGGGCAGTGGTGGTTCAGTGGTGGAATTCTCACCTTTCACGCGGGACACCCAGGTTTGATTCCGGGCCAACCATCTCATATGCAGTCACCACCTGTCTGTCCAGGCATGCATGGTTGCCAAGACACACTAGAAGAAAGGCCTGGCAATCTACTTCCAAAAATCAGCCAATGAAAATCCTGAAAGTCACGACGATCGTGGGGATAGCTCAGGACCAGGCAGCATTTCATCCCACTGTGTGTGGGGTCACCATGAGTTGGGGCGATGTGACAGGAACTAACGACAGGTGCTGGGTAACCCAGGAAAGTAGAGGGAGCATGGCCAGGTGTGCACAAGGGCCCACGGTCACCAAGACGGCCTAAGACCGTGGGCCTCAACCCTGGCCACACATCAGAATCAACTGTTGTTGTTAGGTGCCGTTGAGTCGATGCCAACTCAGTGATCCTACGAACCACAGAATGAAACACTGCACTACCTGCGCCATCCTCACAATCCTTGCTGTCCACCATGGGTGACCCTGTTGGTATCTGAAATACCAGTGGCATAGCTTCCAGCATTACCACACACAAGCCACCACAGTAGGACAAACTGACAGACAAGTGGTGCAGACTCGTTTAGGGAGCCTTTAAAATGCCACTGCCGGTCCTCTTTACACCAGCTGAATGTGAAGCCACGGAGGCCCAGGCATGTTTTTGAAGCTCTCCGTAAGATTCTAACGGGAAGCTTGGGTTGAGCCCCGCTGTTTCGCTAACAGAGCTGGAGATGAGCAAAGACCTACGAACAAATCTGCTGAGAGTCCATCAAAAGCATATCCCTAGGCCTAAGTGTAAGGCCATATTGGTTTTAGCACTGAAAACCAAAACACACTCTTAAAATTGAAAACATCTAAAACACGTAATACGGAATTCTCGGAAAGCAATCACTCTGGAAAAGTCGTAACAAAGCTCAAGTGTTTATTAAGAATTAAAAATACTGTAAATAAGCCATACAGTTCATTTCACAGTAAACTAAACCAACCTTTTTTTTTCTTTTTGAGTTTTTGAGGTTTTTTTTTTTTTTTTCCCCCCTTTTTTGAAGGGCAAGACAGCCATTAAATAACAGTACAGCTCAAAGGGGAGGGGGTACAGCAAACAACTATAGAAACACAGTGCACTTTCTCCACTGACAGATGAGGGTCTGCTCAGACAGCAAATCTCTTTGTGGACAGCATGTTGCAAAACAGAAAAAAATGGAAAAAAGATTTAGCCTCCATTGCCCAGGGAGACACCCAATTCCTTGGCGGACAGTGCTCATAACTGCTTTAAAGAACCCACGGAATCCATTTGCTGGGATTCTAACCCTACGCACTCTCGGGCGACCCAACCAAAAAGGCTGACACAGGTGGGCCACAAGGGATTCAGAATGGCCTGATTTCTTTGCATAGTTACTTTTGAAATGACTAGAAGGCGCAGGACCGATGAAAGACAGACACCCACGCCACAGCAGGTGACCCCAACCACCATGCAGCTGACTGTTTCACACTAGATTGAGAGCGACCTCTCCCCTTCCCGATTCACAGCTGACAGGGATGAGTTTTAACCAGTAAAGTGAAAGACAGGAAGCGAGTGATATCTCATGAAAACTTTGGCCAGGAGTATTTAAAAAAATACAACTAATTTTCCTTAAAAACAATGAGAAATAAAGTACCTCCCTTTCTCCTCCCCTCCCCCCCTTTTTTAAAACTCGGCCCTGCCATCAAGCACGGGTTTTTTGAGGTTAGACTTAATCTGCTTCTGCTAATCCCCAGTTGAAGGCATTATCTTTTTTCTCTGACACTAGAGCCATCCCTTCTGGAAACCACCATTGATTCACAGGGGCCGGGCCTTCCGGAAACCAACCTAAAGCAGAAGCAGGAACCTTAAAAACCAATGGTATGTGGCAATAATTGCAAATAAATTAACTGGGCACAAAAACACAATGCCTTGGTGTTCTGGGTGGTGACTACGCTCTTCAAGAGGAGACAAGATATGGCGGTGCAGTGGGGTGGCGGTGAGAGATGGCGGGGAGAAAAACGACATTTTTTTGGTCATGAGAAGTTGGACTTTACATCCGCACCCTTGACACACCATTCGTCTAGATCTTTTCGTGAATCTTTTCGACTTTCACAAACAACCTATCCAGGTCATTCCTCAGGTCGTCTAGCAATGCCTTGGCTGATTCCAAGTTGTTCTCATTGGTTTCTATTTTGACTGAGTATGCAACCAAACTGTCCACGGCAGTCCTGAGCATTTTCAAGTCTGATTCCACCTGGCTTACTGAGGATTTGAGGTTGTCTAGAGAAGAAAGTTTGTCTAGGAAGTCCTGAGGAGGCACCGGGGCTGCCCGGGCTTGGTCCTGACTGAGCAGCGTGTGCACCTGCTCCTGTACTCTCTGGAGTGTCTCCACGGTGCTGGGGAGCTCGCCCAGGCTTCTCTTCAGCTCGCCCACGTCAGCGTAGAGGGAGAGCTGGGCCTCCCCCAGGCTCCTCACGGTGCTGGCCATGTCCTCCTTGCCCCCCTCCGAGGAGGAGCCCAGGCTTTCCACACGCACCTGCAGGGCACTCAGGCGCTGCTCATACTCCTGGCTCTTCGACAGGAGGGTCTCCAGGCTCTCTGTCTGCTGCACAGCAGTCGCCTGCGCGGACTGGACTTCGTCTTCCACAGCCTGAAGCCTGGAGTCCAACCCCTGACTCTTCCTCTGGAGTGTTTCAAAGGCTTCAGAATTTTGGAACACGCTGTCTTCTCCTGGCCTGCTGGAATCAGCTTTCAGCTGGCGTAGCTCTTCTTCAAGTCTCCTGATCTCCCCTGTGAGGTGGGAAATGGACTCCTCAGACTGCACAAACTTCTCTGTGAGGGTCTGCAAGGTGCCATGCTCCACGTCAGCCGCCTCCTTGAACTTCTGCTGCTCCTGTTTAAGACTCACCAGCTCTTTGACTTCTGTGTACACGTCAGACTCCATGGTCTGGAGGGTGCTTCTCAGGGCCTCAATGTCCTTTTCTTTGGACTTCACCGAGGCTTGTATTTCCTTCACAACTTCCTTCATGGCTTTCAAGTCCTGCTTGTACCCCTCAGATTCTTCCAGAGAGGCAACCTTTACCTTCACATCATTTATTTCCTTCTGGCTCCTCTTCTGGACGTCAGTAAAGATGGCAATGTTGTCGTTGATGGACTTGGTGAGCTCTGTCAGCCTTTCCTCCACCGTGTTTTCAAGGGATGTGAAGTCCCGCTCTCGGGCGTCCTTCACCACATGGATCCCGTCCGAGAGGTCTTTGAGGATCTCATTCTGGAGTTTCTGCAGAACTTCGCTGATCCGGTTGATCTCGCTCTCCCCTTGCTTCACAGCTTTCTCTGTGAGATCCTGCTTATGTTGAGAGCTTCTCAAGATGGACTCAAAAGTCCCGAATGTGGCTTGCAGAGACTGTACCTGTAACCAGAATCAGATGTTAGTTGCTGAGAAGAGCTGGTGAGCTCTACACTATGCAGCTGTGTTATACCTGCCTAGCTTCTAGGTCTCTCCTGTGACAGAACAGCACTTTGACTTTTTTTATGGACAGCCATCACGCTTCCACAAAGTCCACATGGTTTGAGGGACCACCCTAGGATGCCCTGCTCTCCAAGCGTTTCATGAGTGGTTTCATAACCAAGCCTGACCAACCCACACTTCCCATGCTTCACCCGTAACCCCGGGCCACTCTGAGTAGCCCAGGGATGGGCATGTGGCCCGAGTCAGGCCAACAAGTCAATTCCAGGACTCCTGTTAAAACTACTGCGAAGGAAAACCTCTTTTCCACTGAGTTGTTACCTACAGGTAAGGCTGGAGCTGCCCAAACCTGCAAATGAAGGACAAAGCCTGCAAATTAAATCAATACAGAGAACTCAGAGATGGACAGATCAAGTTCTGAGGACACAATCTGAATCTCCAGCCGTAGCTAGATCTGAAGGAATCTACTCTTGAACTTTTTAAGTCAATAATTGCTTGCTCTCTCCAAGCCACTTTTAGATGGGTTTCTAACTCTTGCAACAGAGTCTCACAAGTCTTTGTAAGAAAAAACCTGAGATGCATAGGGACACCAGGTTGAAGCAAGAGACAAAGGTCCCGGTCTCTGCTCGCCACTTTAGCTGGGTGGCCCTGAGGTCACTACCCTCTGGTGACCTGTGTTCTCACCTGCAAACTGCAAGCAATGGATCAAGGACCTCTTAGCAGTCTGTGTGTGAATGCATTATAATCACACTTTTCTACCCTATGCTTATCCTAAATAAATTCTTCCCTAAGCAAGGACTGACCTGGGAGCTACCCAAGGGAGCCGGCTTACTGTACTAAGAGGCTGTAAGGATGCTGTCTAATAACCTGAGATTTACCCTCCCATGGTGCCAAAAGAAGCCCACACTGCCACCTCTGACCCTTTCCTGAAAAATAAAAAGACCCTGAATATCTCAAGTCTCTACTTCTAACCACCAGATTATAGAAACCATGTGAGGTAGAGAAACATGCTAAACAAGGCTAGGATGCAGTCGACCAAATGCACAATTTGTTTGAGAGAATGAGGGAAATGTGATTACGGCCTGGGTAATGGTTCGCAATCAGCTGCTAGCCTCGAGGCTGGAGGCTGGACCTACCTGGCAGCTCCGCAGGCCAACCAAGAAAACCCTCGGAGCTCAGTCCTCCGCTGTGATGCCCGGGGTCGCCTTGAGTCGGCATCCCGCCAGGGCATCAGGTTTGGTGTTTTTAGTTTTATTGGATGATAATAAGGAACTACTGTTAACTTTGTTTGGTGTGGTAATACTGTGCTCTGTTCAAAGAAAGGGTAGGAAAAGAACCTTATCTGTTAGAAATAAATCCTAAAATCCTCTGGGTCAACTATGTCCCTGAGGGATCGGCTGCAAAATACTCCAGCCAAGAAGAAAAAAGCGGGAGTGGGGGGGATGACAAACCATTGAGAAGGACTGAACCTGGAAACAGGTAACCAAGCCTTCACTGTACAGTTCTCTTTTCTTTATGCTTGAAGAGCTCCATATGAAGAAGTTAAATGCTGGCTCTGGAACCAAACTGTGGCTGTTAGGGGCCCTCGAGTCCGACTCATGGCAACCCCGTGTGACAGAGTGGAACTGCCCCGTAGGGTTTTCTTGCCTATAAGCTTGACTGAAGCAGACTGCCAGGTCCTTCTCTGGCAGAGCCACTGGGTGGGTTCAAACCACCACTCTTTCGGTTAGCAGTCAAGCCCTTAACCATCTGCACCACCAGGACTCTTGGAACCAAACTCCCTAACTTCAAATCCTAGCCCTGGTACTTCCTAGCTGTGTCCTCTTGAACAAGTTATTTAGTTTACATGTAGCCCTGTTTTCCTCATCTTCAGAATGGGAACAAAAATAGTACCTGACTTACAGGACGGCCTTGTGAGGAGTAAATGAGTTAACATACGTGAAGTGCTTAAACCCTGCCTAGCACACAGCAAACGCTCAATGCATGGTAGTAGCTACGGCCTTCATCAAGGAGCTCTGGTGGTGCAGGGGTTAAGCGCTTGGCTGCTAACTGAAAGGTTGGTGGTTCGAACCCAGCAGCTGCTCCACAGGAGAAAGATGAGGCAGTCTGTTTCCATAAAGATTAAGGGGCTCTGGTGGAGCAGTGCCTAAAGCATCTGACTCCTAACCAGAAGGTCGGGGGTCAATGGATTACAGCCTTGGGAACCCTATGGGACAGTTCTACTCTGCCCTACAGGGTCCCTATGAGTTGGAATCAATTTGATGGCAATAGGTATCACCTCATTACTGTTTACTTTTTATGCTGAAGTACCTCAGAAGTCTGCAGCATTCTAGCACCATCCTCCACCCGATGCCAAAAGCCGGTGGGATAAAGTGAAAGCACACCGAGCCTGGGAACAGGACACCTGGGCTCTAGTGCCAGCTCCACCAATCATCAGCCTTGTGAGCACTATCAGTCACTTTCCTTTTCTAAGCCCCAGCTTCCTCATCTATGAAGTAAGTCTGAGAAGTTTCCCCTAGCTCTGACAATCTATGATTTTAAGATAGAGCAAGGTTCCCAGAGACTCCAGAATATTAATTTCCCTGTCCAACCAAATCCAACCTGAATCCTAAGGACCCTCTGAGAAGGTGCTGGTTCCTAGATCAGTACCTGCCTGTGTAAGCACAGCACTCAGAACGGAGGCAGGAGCGAGGGAGCCCAGTGCCTGCAACAGGGCGGGTGTCCACTCAGCATTTTTGGAATGAATAAATACCAAAACACCAAACTCACTGCCTTCGAGTCGGATCCAACTCATATCGACCCCTCCTTGGGTTTCCGAGGTAGTGTCACTATGGAAATAGATTGTCCAATCTTTCTTCCAAGGAGTGGCTGGTAGGTATGAACCACCAGTCTTCTGGATAGCAGTTAAATGCCTTAGGCACTATGCCACTAGAGCTCCTTCTGAATGAATGGAAGAGTGAATTCATTAACAGAGCAAAGCTTGTGATGAAGACCAAACCAAACCAAATCCACTGCCCTCGAGTCGATGCAGACTCACAGCAACCCCCACATATTTTCCAAGGCTAAAAATCTTTATGGAAGCAGACTGCCTCATCTTTCTCTAGCAGAGCAGCTCTTGGTTAGCAGCCAAAATGTCTTAACCACTGTGCTCCTTCTATGAAGACCAAGCTGGTCCATTTCCTCTCTGGCCCCTGACTATTATCCCCAACCTTTCCTGGCTCTGAACAGTTAGGAATGGGAATGTATGAAATTTTGGATGAAACCAAATAAACCAACCTCCTTTACTACAAAAGAACACAGGAAGTGCCTCTCTACTGATTTTTGCAAATTGTTCATTTTTATATCCAAAGAACTCATTATAATCAATATGCATTGGCTGCATCTGTTCCCCAACATACACAGGGTACCAACTAAGTGGCAGATGCTAGGGAAGATGCCTGAGACAAAATAACAACTAGGATAGGACCCCTGCCCCCAAGGAGCTCAGAGCCTACTAATGTGTGCGTGTGTGTGTTGGGGGGTTGCTGATACTCAACAGGGTACTTACTATGTACCAAAAACTGTACAAAATACCTTATCTCACTAAAACCAAAACCAAAAACCATTGCTATCAAGTCAATTCTGACTCATAGTGACCCTATAGGAGAGAGACTCATAGGGTTTCCAAAGCTGTAAATCATTTTAGGAAAGCAGACCTCCACATCTTTCTCCCATGGGGTGGCTGGTAGGTTCGAATCACCAACCTTCCGATTCGCAATCAAGTACTTAACCACTGCACCACCAGGGCTACATCCTCGTAATAATCTCATAAATTGGTTGCTTCCATTGATCTCCATCTTACACCTACAGAAAGTGAGGATTAGGGAGTTTAAGGTCACACGACTGGTGACAGAGCTAAGCATCAAAAACCTAAGCTCTTAACCACTATGTGATCTGCTCACAAAGGTGTATTCTAAGTCATGACTACAAGGAGGAGATGCTATCTGACCCCCAAGTCCAGAGAGTCAAGATGGGGAAACACAGAATCAAGGCCAGAGAACTCTCTCTTCTGCAAACAGCTCCAAGTCTCTCTAAACTCTCCCCAGAAGGCTTAAGTTCACTCCGACAGTCACTTCATGCCACCTGGGCACCTAGCTCATCCTACCCTGGGTCTGCCAGGCCAACACGGGCTATTCAGAGGGACTAGAACTGAATGGCCAACATCTTCTGAAGCCTCGAACCCACTTGTATGTGTGCTGAATCCTCTAGGCAAGACCAGGCCAGCCTATCGGCAGTGTTACAGCCACTCAGAAGACCTGGGCCATGTTCCAATACCAAGAGCACCTAGAAAACAAGAGGGAACATTTGGGCACCCCATATGGCAGTAGAGTGGAGTGGTTCAGAGTCAGACTGTCCCAACTCCAATCCTAGCTCCATCACTGAGATGTCTATGTGATCCTGAAGGTGTAACATAACTACTCTGGGCCCAGTGGCCCCATCGCTGAAATGGTACCAGTAAGCGGTACTTATCACAGAGGGTGGTTGGCAGAACTGAAATAAGGGCTGTGTAAAGCACTTCATGGAACGCCTAGCCCATAGTGAATACCAATTTTTAGTAATAATACTATAAATACATTTCCCTGCTAATAAACTCCCCATTCACCACCACATATCGCATAGAGTTATCAAGGGGTTCAAATTTAGGCTATCAGTAAACCAATCACTCTTGGCTCCTCAATGCAAAAGAGCTTCTTATGTACTGACCACCCCAAAGGTGCAGACAGACTCTGAAGTAGCTTCACGCTGGGGCTCTTACTGTGCTGGGCATATTCTGAGTTTCAAGTCAATGGAACAAGTATTTATTAAGCACTTACTGTGTACCAGCACTTACTATGTACTATCAAAAAAAGGGAAGGCCCTCAACAAGATGGACTGACACAGCGTCTGCAACGATGGGCTCAGGTATAGCAAGGATTGTGAGGCTGGCACAGGACCAGGCAGTGTTTCTTTCTTTTCCTGTACATTAGGTCCCTATGAGCTGGCGCCCACTCGAGAGCACCTAACAGCAGCGTTAGTAGGCTAGCAGGCATGGGAAAGGCAAGAAAATGAACAGCGGAGTGGCTAAGACTGTCCTAGCAGTTAGCCTGGGTCTGAATCCTAGTCCTACGACTTACTAGCTGTACAAGCATGCAACGTTATTCAGCCTCTTTGTGCCTCAGTTTCCTCATCTGCAAAAGGGCAATAATAGCAGTACTGTGCTCTTGAGGCTGCTGTGAAGGTCAAAAGAGATGATACATCAAAAGGGTAGCATTTGCCCAAAATCAAAGCTCAGAAGGCAAGAGGGGGGCAGAAAAGAAGGCCAAATGGAAACAGGGAACCCATGGAGGAAGCGCAAAGAGGGCTGTTACACTGAGGAAACTGCAAGTAACGTCACTCAAAAAAATGTGTTATCAATTGTTGAATGGAAAACTAATTTGCTCTGTAAACTTTCACCACAATACAGCTTAAAGAGAGAGAGATGATGCGTTTTCAAATACCAGCACAGTGCCTGGTACATCAACGCACAATAAGCACCAGGCATTACATACCAGCCTGATTCCACTAACTTTTTTAAAAGGTAGTGGCAATTTCAGTCATTTCAGAGTTGTAAGGATCCTTAAAAATCTGGACTGGGCCTTCCCCTCATGGTGTCGATGGGAAAACTGTGCCTCAAAAAGGAAAGTAAACTGTCCATAGATGAGAAAAGAGTAAGAACCAGAAAAGAGGACTAAGGGAGGTACAGGGAAGAAGCACCGAGAACAAAGTCCAAGCACTTCAGCCTGGACTCCAGACCTTCCCCCGCTCTGGCTCAACTCCCAACCTCCTCTCTCACTACCCCCTAAATGTCACTCTGCTATGGGCTGGGTAGCCACTTCCTGTCCCTCAAACATGCTCAAGCCCGCCCCCTTGCCTGTGGGCTCTTCACATTCCTTCTTTCCACACTTAACCAATCACCGACTATGTGACTGCCATGATCCCAGCCCTGGGTAGCGGGTGCCAGTGGTTAACGTGCTCAGCTGCTACAACCGAAAGGTTGGAGGTTCAAGTCCACCCAGAGGTGCCGTGGGAAAGGGCCTGGTGATCTAGTTCCAAAAGCAAATTCAGCCACTGAAGACCCTGTGTAGCACAGTCCTGCTAAGACACACAGGAAGTCGCCCTGAGTCGGGATCAACTCGAAAGCCACCGGTTACTTTGGCCACCAGGTTTACAGGAGTAGACAAATTCAACTCTCCTGAACCTGAACATGCACTGCAGTTACCCTCAACTGACACCTACAAACATGATTCACAACTTCTTTGCAACAGGAAGGGCCCTGTCCTTCATACCCTCCACAAGGCCTACACAGAGCCATATGCCTATCAGCCTGCAATAAATATTATGATTGATAGGTGGGTGGATGAAAGAGAGGAAACAGAGAGGCTAGTGATTATGTGCTGGCAGAATCTCTACTTTTTTAAGAGTCACCTGACATCCAGGATAGGCAAAGCAGCACTGCCTACTTAACTCCCTCAGAAAAGTCGCCTCCCTGGGCCTGCAGCATTTAGCAGGCTGACTCATTCCAGTTGCTCTGCCAGTCTGTGGAAGAAATTCCTAGTCCTGCATACTCAACAAAAGTAGAGAAAACTTGGCAGGGCCAGTAGCATGCTGGGAAAAGGAGGCAGCAGTTCCGGGCTCAGAAGTGGCGGGATTTTTTGTCTCAGTCATGCAATCAATGTTCATTGAGCAATAAAATTAGAGAAGGAGGGAAAAAGAGATTGAAGAAGCTGTGCTCCTCTGGGCAAACCAGAGTCCGCCCACGCATGCCTGAACTAGGCCCCAGTGGCCCCTTAACTGGGCAGTGATTGAGATGTTATCACTCTGCCACTTGCCAGCTAAGGAGCTTGGTCAATTCATTACAGAAACTCACTTAATCTCTGTAAACCTCAATATTCCGGCATGGAAAACGGAATGGAAATGGCCTGTCCCATCTCCCTCCCAGGGTTGCTATTAGGACTAGCTAGTATGTGAGCAAGCCCTCTGAACACTAGACAAATGTACCTGGAAGTATAATTCACCAGTATGACCTAGTATTCTGAGCCTTTCCTTCCCTCTAAAGCCTTAGTATGCTACTTCAAATGCCCACATGGGCACATGAGTCCCAAGGGGCCTCTTATATAATATTTAGTTTGAACTTCGCAAATGAAGAAGAACACTAGCTTTTCCGTCCTCAAGCTCCTGGTCTATTAAAAACTGGCGAAGAGGTCCCCTACTGGGAGAGCTGAAGAGCAGCCTTGCACGACGCTTCCAATCATGTGCAGGCTGCCCTTCCAACCTCCTTCTCAAGACAACTGCCCATTCAGCGGCTCCTAATCCAAAAAGAATGGGCTCCCGAGGGCCTGCCGGCTTTCTTACAGGTCACCGCTAATGTCCTGTGACAAACCCTCGGCCAACCGTCCCCTCTGGCCCAGCCATCTTCGCAGAGGTTCATCCCCGGGAGCCAATTCCTCTGCAGCCATTAACAAAGAGGGTCTGGGGTCTGACTCAGAACGAGAGGGGCCGAGGGAGAAGGGAACCCTCCGGAGCCAGACCAGCCGGGGCCTACGTGACCAGAAGGGGCTTGCGGAGGAGGGGCGGCCGGCCACCGAACCCAGGCGGAGCGAGGGGCCGGGGCGGGTGGGCACGAGGCGGCCCAGCTGTGTGTCCGGGGCCGCTCCCGGTAAAGGAGGTTCGAGAGGGTCGAGGGTACCCACCTTCTGCTCGACGCCCTGCAAGCCCTGGCCCACCTCCTCCCGCTGCCGGGAGAAGTCCTGGTGGCTGAGCCGGACCTGCTGGACCTCCTCCAGGACGTGGTGGACGCACCAGCCCGAGAAGGCGGCCGCCGCCACCAGGGCGAGGTAGAAGAGAAAGTTGAGCGCCTTGCCCAGCCTGCGCGAGCAGGACGCCGAGGACGAAGCGGCGGCGGCGGCGGCGGCTGCGGAGGACTTGCCGCCGCCACCGCCGCGGTGGCTGCCCTTGCCATGCGCTTGGTTCTGCTGATGCTGGTGCTGGTGCGGCTGCGGCGCCGGCGGCTGCTGCGGCGGCGGCGGCGGCGGCTTCTTCGCCACGTCATCCGCGCCGCTCGACGGGTGGGCGCCCTTCTCCGAGGGGCTTGCGGCGCCGTGGCCGCCCTTGGAGCCCCTTTGTTTGGCCGAGGGCATGGCGGGCGCGGCGGCGGGTGAAGCCGCGGGCTGGGACGCGAACGAGCGGAGCGCGCGGCCCGGAAAACTTGCTCGGGCTCCCCCGGGGCTGGAAGAGCTGCACGCGGCCGCTGCTGGCG